CTCCAAGCCGAGCCTCCAAGCACTGGGTCACTGGCGCGATGGGTGTGACCCAAAGCAAATCCTCAGCATCTTTGACTTTTTGCCAACAATTTAGATGGATCTTCTTTCACGGTAATGCCTACGCACCGGCTGCTTCTTATACTCATCCTTCATGAAAACATAGGCCTGAGGTTGATCAAAGTTGGGCATACAACGGTTTGCTCACCACAGTATACAAGTGCTGCCTCATGCCTTGAACTGGTTTCTCGGAGTGTACTGTTCAAAGAACTGCAAAGAGCTGGACATGTCTACCTACCGTTTTGTCAAAGCGAACTTCAAGACTTGTGGAGCCGCGGAACAAGTGGTAACTGCTGGTCGAACAGGATCTTTTCCACAAGTCATCTCAACCGTATCCTCTGCGAAAATTAAGGCATAAATGATCCGCTTTAGATGGAGTAGCCTGGAAAATCAAACAAACACTTCAGGCAAGTGAGAAAGATGACACCTTTTACCACGCCTTTAGGGCCTAGGATCTTTTTCACTATTCCAAAAAGCAACACACACCAAACGAACATTGGAGACAGCGAATAGTCGCATTTTTTCGACAAATCAACCACATGAATGAATGCGTTCCACACCGTAGACGCCTCGCTCGTCCAAGGCTCGTAGGCCAAGATACTGGCGGAGCGCACCTCTGCGATGCAGGTCAAGGTCCAAATGAAGACGATGGACTCAGCGCGGTGGCGCGTGCACATGTCACAAACACATGTCAACACATGCCGTGCACCAGTGGGTTCCAAGTGTGAAATTAGAAGGACCACCTATGGGTGCGTCGCATTGGGGGACGTCTCTTCTTTTGGCCAAGGAACCGCAGTGAAAAGCGGCTGTGACAGCGGGATGTTGCAGATCTTCGCTTGGTCGCTGGAGGACAAGGAGCTGAAAGCTTCCTCGTTGGGTACTGCACCAGTCTTCCCACGCCAGAAGCCATTCACTGTCTCCTCCACTTCAGCCCCATACAGGGCTTTCTCGTAAAGGCCTGGTTGAAGTCGTGAAGATGTAATCCAAACACCACTAGGAGCAAGGACGCTACTAGTAGCTCCTGGCATCGCTCCTAGGAACAAGAAGCTAGTAGGGGCTCCTGGCATCCCTACTCGTACTAGGAGCAAGAAGCTACTAGGGGCTCCTGGCATCGCTACTAGGAGCAAGAAGCTACTAGGGGCTCCT